TGATTCCTTCAAGAAAATTATACTCAGTCCGTTCCATTTCCCCTATGTTAAAAACACCGGTATGCGCTACACACACTCATATAAGTGTATGAATCATATTGTCCAAACAGTGATACTTGCTGCGTGTAGCACTGATAGGTCCTTATTCTATGCCAAACTGGGTCAAGTTGACCCACATAAGAGCAAGAGCTCACCGTTATTTGGACAAAGTTGAATGAGTTTTTCTTGAGCGTACGCAACTTAATTACCAACACCGATTTAAATTGGAATTTTTTGCACTTACTTTTTTTGCACGCACTTTTCTAGTACTTTTTGTAACAGTGCTTGTTCGAGTTCTAATCAAATTGAGCGATGCATATTCTCTGATCATGCATTTTAATAAATTTGAATTGAAGCCTATTTCTGTGTTTGAATTCTGAAGGAATTACTGAAGCTAAAGGTCCTTAGTCAATATTAAGGTTAATAGTATATAAATAGTTATGTAGTATATTATAAAATATTTATCATATAAATAGTATATTATATAAATAGTATAATAAAAATATAATATAATAAAATAGTAAATATTAAGGTTAATAGTACACAATAAAGTGTACACTTAGTTGTCCAGTGAATTCCAGCTCGAAGAATGCTTATTTCGAGCTATCAAATTCAATCATCAAAAACCTCTTTGTGTTTGCAGAATTTTCAGTTTATCGTGAATTTAATATATCATGAATATCATCGGCAAGAAAAAACTTTTAAACATCCCTAGGGATCGTTATCACTAATGGCAGAACAATGTGCACAAATTTAACTGAGAATTAGTTTTATTTTTTAGCTTCTTGTTAGTTTTCTCAATAAGTCGTACTAAATTCTTCGTAGGTGTTGGAAGATTGAAAATTAAATTACCGATAGACATTTTTCATATTGAACGGCGTTTCGAATGTAAAAGATTCATTTTCAAGTTAAAGACGCATTGATTTTTGCATTATTTGAATGGTATCCAATTTACTTGATTTCGTACATATGTCAACCCAAATTTCGTTACTCAATGCGTCTTTAACTTAAAAATGAATGTTGTACATTCGAAACGTCGTTCAATATTAAAAATGTCTATCAGCAATTTAATTTTCAATCTTCCAACACCGACGAAGAATTTAGTACGACTTATTGAGAAAACTAACAAGAAGCTAATAAATAAAACTAATTCTCTGGTCTTTAACAAAACTTGCTTAAGAGAAGAAATTCTGCCAGCCTATACTAATGAATTTAACTGAGTGCACTCACGATTAGATCTTCCAATCAAACATGAAGGTCTCAAAAAATTACAGTTTCGACGACATATCTAGACCTTGTCACGTCAAATCTGCGACAGTAATTCCTTGCCATGATTTCAGACGGCGACCCAGAGAGCAATCATAATATTTTTTTTAAAAGGCCTCCCACACTCACCATTCCAACAAAAAAAAAGAAAAAAAATGACAATTCCCTCGATATTGAATCGAGGGAATTGTGTCCAAGAAACTACTATGGAAATGTTAACGACAATGGAAATAGAAACGTGATGAGAGCTCGACAGGTGCTCAAATTATTAATATATGATGAAGAGGAAATAGATTGAATTCGGACAAAGATGGATTATCTAATATGCATTGAAGAAGGGGAAGCTTCTTCACATAATCCAAATGTAATAGAGATGGGCAGGGTGATCAATGAATACTAGATGTTCAAGACAAAAAAGCGTTGCTAAATAAGGAAATCACTCTTAGTACATCAGAACCTAGAAATAAAACGTTCAAATTTAATTTGAATGAATACATAATCAAAGAATCATATTGGGAATTTTATTTTAATTACTCCGATGAAATAACAGCTTCTTGCACGACAAACGACTTTAAATATTTTTTTTGTAGCTGATTTCTTCTGATATTTGCGGGTTCCTAGCAGCCCTTGTGTTTTTGTTTTCGCATTAAGCCATCGATAATTTTTTCATTCCAAAAATTTCAATGTTCTCATGCCAATTCTTTTTCCGAGCCTTTTTAGTTCTTCAATTTAGAAAGTAATTCTAAGTACTTCTAACAAATTTGACATTCGTTAAAAATTAAAATATTGATTATTTTTTGGAGAATTTTTATTTAACAGAATTTCGAATGTTGATGCTTGCATTCCTGTTGTAGGTTCGCGATATTCAAAAGAAACCTTTCAATATTAAACAAATGTGAGCTTTGCCAATCATTACATTCTTTTCTTTTTATATTTGTTAAATTGGATTAAAAACTGAATAATATTTTGTCAGGATATTGAATTCCATTTCATAGTCCCATAAGATGTGGACTGCAATAGTGATGCAAATACGTTGGACCGTACCAGAATCGGAGCATTGAGTTGCAGGTTCGATCCCAGCTTTTATAGACAGTACTGGCCAAAATCGGCGAGGTGGCCGAGCGGCTAAACACAGTGGATATTGGAGGAGTAAGTTGCGTGTTCTAGACCTGCAACAAGCTGTGAAATAGTTCTGCTACGGTTAGAATCGGCGACATTTGAGCAATAATTTTGGTGATTAAAATCGGTAACACCCATATTTCAGCAAAAAATATGGTAATTCCTAATGTTTATACTACTTGAATGAAGTTTTGTGGCCTGAAAATCTATTGAATGGCAACGGCCATGAGGAATTTCTCGAGGGCTGACTATATCTCATGTTCCGTATAGCACTTCTATGTTCAATTTTATTTCTAATCGAATTACTGAGCTTGTATGTTTTCTTAAATATTCGTCAGAACACAGCAATAGACCGTGCAATATAGGGCGGTTATTGCTGGTAACGTTACTCAGGACTAACGTGACCCGTTCATAAGTAAAGTTATAACGCTCCTCATAATCATAAATTATAAGTTATCATAATAAGTTTGTTATTAAGTTATCATAAGTTATCGTTGATCATAAGTTATATCGTTCTTCAGCGTTATAACTAAAAACTCATACGCTCCCGATTCAACTCCAACGAATCGCTGGCACCATGCCCTGTATTCTTGACTAGAATTTAGCAGCATTACTGCGGAAAGCAATTAAAACAAATTTATACGTAATTATGCTCCTATGGTGTCCCTCAATTTGGGTAATGCTATTGTTTTGTACCAAAATAAGGCAAAAACAAGAGTGAATATGGTTATGACGATCTCAAAAGATTACGTTAATAGATGGTTAATCAAGTTGGAATGTTTTTTTTTATATTTTGAAACACGTTAACAAATTTTCTCTTGTGGATGCGTCGGAGAATGCTATAGAATATACATGTATATAGAATATATATATAGAATAACAGAATAACTAGAATATATACGCTGTCACAACATGAAATTCTGAAGGAGAAGCTCGGGGATAAAACAGCATCCGAACTTCCTGGCGGTCCGGAAATTACGGAAGCAGAACGATTCATCTCCGAGTTCTGCTAGTGTACAGTGAACATCTAATAAGGTTTCCTGCAGAACTGCTGCTCACTTCGTGGAGAAATGATGAATTATCCGTCCAATCCGGAGCTCGATGCAGAAAAATCTTCTTGAGAGAGAGAAATTCATAGAATTTGAAAATGGATAGAAAATGAAAAATAACAATGGATAGAATTTGAAAATGTTTTCAAGTCGCGCTGGTTATTGAAAGTTACAATACATATTGAAGTTATAGGCAAATAAAAGCCAAGGGCATGTTAAAAGAGTCATACGAAGGTTGTCTGTCGAAAAACTGAAGATTTTGATAATTTTTTCTGAACTTCAATTGACTAACTGATTAAAAAATCAAATGTTATGCTACTTATATCATATCTGAAGTCCGTGACATAATTTTAACACTTATTATTGTCCAAAATATCATCTCGGTATGTTCAAATTGATTTTAGCTTCGTTTTACTCATCACATTTTTCTCTATATATAATAAACTAGCGTACACAATCCTGGATAAACATATTCAATTGTAATTTATTGCCTAAAAATAAACAAATTATAAATAAAAACAAATTCCAATGATATTTAAAAACATAAACAAAATAAACCAATCACCCTCAACAAAACGTGACCATTATAGTGTATACGGAGGTTACCAAGGGCAACAGAGGTCACAGCTATTGACCTCGCTATGACACGTCGACTGAGCAGTGCAGCGCTAACAGCGTTCCATAGAGCACAATGTGTGCCGCACAGTTGTTTGTAAAATACATTTGTTCAGAATTTCAAAATTCGAAACAGGGCAATATTGTTTACTATTAGTTTTGTTATTTTGAAACATTACGTAACATCCGATAATCTCAGCTGAGATTTTACTAACGCGAAATATTTTTTTGAAGTTTGCGTCTGTTCAAATGTGGGAATTTGTTCAGATTTAATGTACGTGCAAAAATGTTCGTGTTCAGATTTAATGAATGTGATAAACCTCTGGAGTCGACTTCTGTTTAATTCAGAAATTTTATATTGAATAATTAAATTGTCAGTTATCTGACTCTGTGAATTTTAGGATATACATATATATATATATATTTAAAAATTAGTTTGAGATGGCAGAATTTGTTGATTTATACGCGTGCGATTAACGACCACAGAATTTGTTGATTTAAATTAATTACTTTTAAATTTAAATCAACAAATTCTCAGGTCGTTAATCGCACGCATATATATTTATAAATAACCTAAATAATGGTTTTCAATATTTGTATCCGATGATTAGAAATTGATATATATTTTCAGTTAAGTTGTAATTAGTAGATTATTATTGACTTAAGTTTCTTATTCGATATCGATATCGAATATATCGATTCGATATTCGATATTTTATCCCGAAAGATGACTGTGGGATAAATTTTTTATGTTATTTTAAATTTTCCGAGGATTATGCTATGTCGGATATTGTGTTAAGATTTTATTTAATGCTAATTCAATGTTAAATAAGTTATTAATTAATTAAAGATCGAAAGATTTAACGGTCAAGTTTAAATGAAAGATTTAATAAACCCTTTCTTCAGGACAAAATTTATCGTCAATTAAAAAAATCAAAGTTGATTATTGTATTAAAAATGCCTTTGAAGCTCGGTGTCCGACTGAAAAATAATCAATCTGAGCTCGGGACCAAGCTTCCGTTCCCGGGCAAAGGCCACAAAGTCTCCGACTCGCCCCCGACTCCGGACCCACCAACAATTTCTGTCCCCCTGAGTCCTGAGCCACAGCAGGATCAACAAATCCCTTCGCCAGAAATCCCAGGTCCGGCAGCCCCATTTGAGGGTTTCGCTAATCCAGGAACCGCATTGTGTCCTCCCAAGGGTGGGTAAATAAAACTAATTATCTATTGATAAACTTATGCTTAATTTGAAAAAGTATCATATATGTAAAAAGCTTGCATATATTTTTGGTTGTCACCAAGGGTGGGTAAATATCTATTGATGAACTGATGCTTAAATAAAAAATACCATTTATATTAAAAACTTTCATATATTTTTGATCGTAAATTTCTGTACAATTATTCATAAAGTGTATAATTGTTACTATAAACGATAAGTTTAAAATTTTTATATGGCAGAGGTTGATGTGATAGATTTTTTGAGCTCGTTTACAGGCTGGCGCTCACTTCTTCTAACAATTGAGTTCAAAAGTGCACTAGCTGGTATGTGGTTAATTGACAATTATTCACTAATCAGACGTTGAGATGACGACTATTTAGATGGCGTATTACTTTAAATTGATATTAGTGCCTAAAATGGTAGTTTCTCTGTTGAATGGTAGTTTTACGTACTATTGTATTGGGGCTAACTTTTGCATGAGTTATGGTCTTCCTTAGCTTAATGTATTATAAATCGTATTGACAGGGTTGCAGTTACCGTTAAAGTTCACAAAATGTTGGGAATCTTAATAAGGGAATATACACCGTTGATCCACTTTTACTCTACTTTAAGAAGAATTAGATATCTGAAGAAAGTTAATTCTCTGGAGCTTTTAATGCAGCTGCTATTTTATAATTAATCGTGCCATTATGTATGTCAAAGAATAACTAAAATGTTCATTATTGTAAATTCTGTAGTATAAACTTCAATTGACTTTGTTATGTTATGTCATACTCTGTATTGATTTTGCTGAAGCATCTTCCTTCTAGATTTGGTAATTCTGTAGCCATTTTTGCCTTGACATTTTCTGCAACTCGATTCTGGAGGAAACAAACATATATCCACAGAAAAAATTCAGTTACAAAATCTACTTTACTATTAATGCGTAACTGGTGATTTAATTTTGATGCTCTAAAAATTCAACTGTCACCAACGTTTAATTTCATTTAATGTGAAACATAATATTAATTACAAAAAGGTGAAAATAATTCCACTTCAAATAGTTAAAAATAGTTTGAATTATGAATCGATTTTATGCGATTTTTCGACAATTTCATATGATAAGCATTGTATCTCATAAATATTATTTTGAGTTAAATTAGCTGTATATAAATAATTAAAAATAGTTGAATTATGGCTAGATTTGAGACAATATTTTCGGCAATTTATACTATAAGCCATGTATCTTATTAATATTACTTCGAGTTAAATTGCTGTTTATATATAATTGAAAATAGTTTAAATGCGGCTAGATTTAAGACGATATTTTCGACAATTTTATACTATAAGCCATGTAACTCACGCCTGCTATTTCGAGTTAGATTATCTGTTTAAATTTTAATTTTATACTATAAGCCATGTATCTCATGCCTACTATTTCGAGTTTAATTACTTTTTATAAATAATTAAAAATAGTTGAATTATGGCTAGATTTAAGACGATATTTTCGACAATTTTATACTATAAGCCACGCATCTCATACCTATTATTTCGAGTTAGATTATATGTTTACATTTTAATTACTTCGCACAGAGTCTCCAGCATCATCGACTCGCTCCAGCCCTGACAGATCAGGCAACGGCACCGCGCGCATTAACATGACGCCGCCCCCCCTCCCCGCTGATGAGTGCATCCCCCTCCTACCCTCGGAAGGTAACCCTGCTTTTGTCATAAGATAAGAAACTAATTAAACAGAAATATCAATTTTGCTTTTAAAATATGCCGGTTTAATTGCAGAGAAAATGGATTATTAACAAAAATACACGGTAGCGCTAATTTTTAGTCTTTCTCATATGCTGAAATTATCAATAAAAATCCAACAATTGGTAATATAAATAGAAATACGTGGTTTTGTGCATTATATATATTGTATATGACTCTAAATTATAGTTATTTATTAAAAGCAGTGAAGCTAAACTGCATGGCGGTACGGTAAAAGATCGACATAATATTGATTTTCAGCGCATTTTCTCATTTATGTAAAAAATGCCTATTGTGCTCGCCATGTCCGTCTGTCTGTTTGTCCGTCCGTCTGTCCGTGACCTCAAGTTTTCGTCGACGAGAAAATGCGCTCTCTGTCACTTACTACAGTGGGTACTGAGTTATATTTGTTCTACAAAGGAGCGCGTTCGCGACGATCAAAAATGCCCCGCTACGAGCCGACCGACTGGGACGATTCGCTGCCGTACGGCGGCAAGGTATACTTGGCACGCAAGAAAAAACCTGACTCGTGGCCTTGCATCGCTCTACAGGTGATCTCTTTTTAGCGCATTTTCTCATTTATTGAAAAAATGCACTATTGCGCTCGCCATGTCCGTCTTTCTGTCTGTCCGTCCGTCCGTGACCTCAAGTTTTCGTCGACGAGAAAATGCGCTCTCTGTCTCTCACTGCAGTGAGTACTGAGTTATATTTTTTTCTTCCGGCATGGTATAAATAAAATTAATATCACACCTTTTCAACTTCAATCATTGATATAATTTTAAATTAATACCTTCTTAACTGTGATCAATTATGTTATACACAACAGGCTTGTTTGATTTTTATGTCAACTGTGATCAATAATATTATACATACCAGGCTTGTTCGATTTTTATTTCAACTGTGATCAATAATGCAATACATAACAGGCTTGTTCAATTTAATTAATAGATATTTTTACAGGCAGTAAACCGTCCGTGTAAAAAATGTCAGCGCCTGCATGGTCATATCGCCGCGACTTTTTCCCTATTTATAGAGAGGAAGTCATTGTTCTATGATACTTTAATTATCATTATGAATAATATAATGCGTGTAAGATTAGCTCGACTCATTAGACGGACATGAGCTCGGTGAAGCTTCATTATTGTTCTTTGATTATCAATTAAACATATTTTTTATTTAGAAAAAACATGCAATAATAATGTTTGACATAATAAAACTCTTGCATGCGTTATATATTTCACTATACGCCGTGAAATTGTCATGCTATCTTTACCATTGCTAATTCGTGCCATAAAATACTTCTATCATATTTATAAATTTAATTGTGTTTTTATAGCATAAAAAAGGAGATGAATGATTGGAATATCGTGGCAAATAAAATATTGAAGTAAACGCATTGCAGACCTTATAATATCAGGTAATATGCAAATAAGATTGTTTGAATGAAAAAATTATTCATACATCGATGCAAATGAGATAAAGCCAATGCGTGCTCAAATCAGCACTTAATTCCAAGCCATGCAGACATTGATGACACAAGATTATCATAAATAATTTAGGCAAGGCCGCGCAGCATTGCAATACAACTAGATATATGTATTTGACTCGCTATTGAAGTAATTTCAGACTTTTTCCTCGCTATTGAAGCAATTTCAGACTTTTGACTCGCTATTGAAGCAATTTCAGACTTTTTCCTCGCTATTGAAGCAATTTCAGACTTTTTCCTCGCTATTGAAGCAATTTCAGACTTTTGCCTCGCTATTGAAGCAATTTCAGACTTTTTCCTCGCTATTGAAGCAATTTTAGTCCAGCCTGTAATGCAGCTGCTCGGCATTCATTCCGGAAATCACTGACGAATTTACTGCGGTTGATTATAGGTTATTCAAGGTCCTTCGATCATGCGTCTATAATTTCCTAAAGGGAGATATCGAGGTTAAAATTTTTCGACTAGGCTTACAATCTGCCTCACAAAGCCTGAATAGAGACCCTGAGAAAAAGCCACCACTGTGGGAACTAAGCCTGATTAAACAGACTATTTCAATGGCATGACTTCGTTATACCTTTGCGTGTTTACAAAGCTTTCAACAAATTTCGCTCTGTGTAATGGCACACAGACCTCAGCTTTGTAATGTAAGATGAACCCTTGGACTCCACCAAATTTCCATCCTTGATATGTGTACATATGCACGGATATTTTATTTGAATGTAAATTTTTTATTTCTGCGCCAAAAAGCTGGATGGCGGTGTTTTAATGGCGACAGTTTGTTTGTTCATGAAATATGTTGGCCGGAAGTCTTCTGTCTCATCAGTCTTTCCACTGATTAGTCATCTATTCGATATAAATTGGTGCACGATTCATCAGCTTTTTGTAGACATTGTAGGTACTTGTACCTAAAACGCTTCTGATTGCACATCTTAAATCGCATTGTACCTCACAACACTTGAGGCCGCCTCAGGCCACAACACAAACGAGAAACAATGCATAACTCAAAATCTTAAATAAATCACTTCATCTCATCTCCTGAGTAGCATCAACAGCAGCGTCCCGAAAAATTCTCTGATATCCATGGGCAAGAAAAACTACACAGGAAACCGTCGTTATTGCGAGACGCAGTAGAAGCGAGGCAATCCGTCTCAGCTGAGCGCGGCAATTCCACGTCCGTGATTGCGTGGTGTTTTTCCAGCCCATGGCCGACCTCTCGAGACTTGGCTTCTTTCGCTGATGAGGTTACGCTCACAAGTCTGAGTGCCATGTAAAGTTATAAAGCAGCAACAGATGTTCAGCGATGATTACTATCAATCCAGCTTTTATATACTTTTTTCAAGTGCCTTTTTGTAGGTTCTTATGGCTCTTATACACACGTGTTTACCGAGCGTCTGCCACGGAGGTCTCATGTTCAATCTAGTTAAGTGGCAAAGCTGAATTTTAATATCACTCAGCAAGGTTCAATTTTGACTGAATGAAGAAGAGACCGAGTTTGTCTCAAATAGGCCCGTTTTCTGCAAGGGCTTCTACAATTTCGAACGAATGACATAGGCGAAAATTTACGAGTGTTTAAATTCAATATTTTAATTTTGCTGTAGGTGGCGTTAGTGCTGTTTGCAGTGGGTATGATGTACTACGGTTGGTATCACACTGAGCATCTCCACTTCCACGCTACAAAACTCTACGGACATTACGGTCACCCCGTCGCACAAGCCATGACGGCTGAAAAGTATCTTCATGGTAAGTTTAGTGTTCGGTTTTCAACCCCTAAAAATGATTTATTATCATATAACTAGGACAGCAATATCATTTCAGATTTCTATTAAATCATGCTAATATGTCTTTGTAGATTGAAGTATTACATAGCCTTGTCTTACCGTAAAAAATTTATGGGAGAACTGCATTTGGCTAAATATTTTACTGGTAAGGTATAGACTATATAGACTATATATAGGCTGACTTTCTGAAAATATTAAGAATATTGAATAAATCAAATCGACCTAACAGCTACATTTTGAGGCTCTCATATGAATAATATATAAGCCACTATTAATATAAACCATGAATAGGCCTATGGAGGAGAATATCACTCTGCCTAGGTCGCGAATGAGACTTGGCAGAGAGATGAGATCTAATGTGACCCTCTCAGCACCTGATCTAAGTACATTAGCATGACTCCTTCGGGAGCAAGAAGAGGTCATATCAACCTAGAACTAATTGATAATTTAAAATGAGAACAGAATTAATCCTTAAAACCTATGGTCAAACAGTTGTAATTTATCTATTTTATTGTAGTTATCGTCAACCTCTCCTGGAGCAATGCTTGGTGACGATCGAGTTAAAAATCCTTAAAACACATTGGGCAGAAAGTAATTCTAGAAGGCCAAGGAGGAACCATACCTTCACTCGTGTGGTTTTATTAATCTGTTTAAATTAATTTAATTGAGTTTGCGTATCAAAGTTTAAAAAGTTAAAAAAGGGGGGGGGGTTTATTTGCAAGAAAGACGGGAAGGCTTGCCTCTCTATCATGATGCATCCATCGAGAATCCCTAGCTGTGATATGAAGGCTTTCGGAATTTCAAGTAATTTTGGGATTTGAGAATCTCTGGGAAGCCAAGAAGTCAAAGAACACTATTCAAGGTTTTGGCAACGAAAACAAGCATTGAAAATTAAATGTCGATAACAAAGATAAGGTTCCCTCAATTTGGAACATTAACCCACCTGAGAAATCTGCAGCAAATTAACAAAAATTGTACACACTTTTTTCAAATTTTTGGTTGAAAATTCTTGCCATAATTATAATAGTATAATAGTAAATCAGAGGAAAAATTAAAATAATGTACTGAAATTGCATGACACACGATAACCCTGCCATAAGCATTGCACTACTCGGCTGACGATAAATCACTAATGGCCGTCTGGTTACTATGGCAAAAATTATCGACCCCCAGTAAAATTAAATCAATCACCCATCAAATAAAAAATAACGATCAAACAGAATGTCCACTAATGAACGTAAAATTAATATAGCTTTTATTATTGAAATCGCAATAATGACCATAAAATTAAAAGATCGATAATAACCGAAAGCCCAATAACGTCAATCAGATAATAAAAACTATAATAACCTAAGTCCACTAACGAAATCACATTTAAATGATAACTATGACAAGTCACTCATGGATAACTACCAAACTGAAACAACTGTTTTATCCGAAATAACATCAATGATCAGTAAATTAGAATAACGATAATTACCGTATACATCAATTACAATGACCATCAAATTACAAATACAACAACAGTGTTCTTTAATACATGTATATCCTCACCACTAAAGACCGTTATAAAGTATGACTAAATTACAATGGAAACCATTGCCGTGCAGGCAAAGGGGTGGAGAAAAACCATACGCTCGCGATGGAGTGGTACATGACTGCGACACTGATCACTGTATTAAAGAGGTGACAATGATCGCCCTAACACTTAAGACCGTTGAAAAATAAGACTAAATTACAATGAAAACCTTTGCCGTGCAGGCAAAGGGGTGGAGAGAAACCAGACGGTAACGATGGAGTGGTACAAGAATGAGACGCTGAACATTGTCACTGTATTAAAAAGGTGACAATGATCGCCCTAACACTTAAGACCGTTAAAAAATAAGACTAAATTACAATGAAAACCTTTGCTGTGCAGGCAAAGGGGTGGAGAAAAACCATACGCTCGCGATGGAGTGGTACATGAATGCGACGCTGATCACTGTATTATAAAGGTGACAATGATCGCCCTACCACTTAGCACCGTTAAAAAGTATGACTAAATTACAATGAAAACCTTTGCCGTGCAGGCAAAGGGGTGGAGAAAAACCATACGCTCGCGATGGAGTGGTACATGAATGCGACGCTGATCACTGTATTAAAAAGGTGACAATGACCGCAATACCACTTAACACCGTTAAAAAGTATAACTAAATTACAATGAAAACCTTTGCCGTGCAGGCAAAGGGGTGGAGAAAAACCATACGCTCGCGATGGAGTGGTACAAGAAGGCAGCGCTGCAGGGGCACCCGCATGCCTCCTATAACCTGGCGGTGGGGCACTTGCAGGGCATGGACGTAGGGCTCAAGCCAGGGTATGTTAATAATGGATCAGTGCGCATACTTATATCATTTTTACATCGTATTGGTCAAAACCAGGGTCTGCATGTAATACAGGTTCAAGAGAGGGTCTACGCGAAATTTAATTCAAGTTTTATAATTGTATTTTAGGAGTTAAAGCCAAAATCTAATTCCCAATTTAATAATAGTTTTACATGTAACTTTTCAAGACAGGGTAATTGTACGTCCTTATTTTATTTACATTTGAACGAACTTTTAAAGGGCTCAAGCCAGGGTATGTTAATAATGGATCAGCGGGGCCCATACTTTCAAAAAAAGTTAAGAGATCGTAAGTACATCTGCCAATCATTGACGCCTTTCAAGCAAATCCACCAATCACAGACAAGAAAATAGAGCGTAGGTACTTACGTTCGTTTAGCGAGTTTTGAAAGTATGGCCCCCGGTAGCTCCATTGCTTGATCCCGTAACATATGAAGCTGAAGTTATGTTAAGACAATGACTTTGTTTTAACAAATAACCTGGGCCTATACTTTCAAAAAAAGTTAAGAGGTCCTAAATTCATCAGCCAATCATTAACGGCTTTCCAAGCCAAATCCACCAATTATAGACAAGAAAATCGAGCGTAAGTACTTACGTTCACTTAGCCAGTTTTGAAAGTATGGCCCCTGTAAAGGTAGTATTAAGCCGTGGTACAGACCTAGGCCAATACTTTCAGAAAAAGTTAAGAGATCGTAAGTTCATCAGCCAATCATTGACGGCCTTTCAGGCAAAATCCACCAATCATAGACAAGATAATAGAGCGTAAGTATTACGTTCACTTATCGAGTTTTGAAAGTATGGCCCCTAGACTTATGAATCTTATAAACCTGTAAAGGTCCGTATCTTATTTAAATTTCACAAAAGTGAGTTGAACCTGGCTGTACCACAAAGTAATATCATTTTATATCGTATTTGTTAAAACCAGGTTTCACCTTTAGAATTTAATTTAATTTTTATTTAATACAGGTTCAAGCGAGGGTCTGCGCGAAATTTAATTCAAGTATTATAATAGAATATTAGGAGTTACAGCCAAAATCTAATTCCCAATTTAATAACAGTTTTAAATGTAAGTTTTCAAGACAGGGTAATTGTATGTCCTTATTGTATTTAAATATTGAGCTAACTTTTAAAAGGTTCAAACCAGAACTTTGACCTAATATGATCAGGCACGTCGTCCAATTATTAAAATAAATACATATTGCAGTAGGTTCTCCACTATCATATATTGTAAATTTTAATTACACAAATTAAAATTAAAATTAAAATATTTCTTTAAAAAAATTTATTTACCTGTTTTAGGGAGGTGCACGAGTTGATCAAGCATGCGGCAGCCCAGGGCGTTATTGAAGCTGCTGATGTGCTGCTCAAAGCCTGCTCCAAGGGACGGTGTGACGACTGATGTCCGCACAATGACCAGAAACATCATGATGATATGACGAAGGGACGCCCATCATCGTCATATCGATCTCGCTGATCAACACCATTTATAAAGAATGCACATTTATAAAGAATACTCTAAAGAAATAAGGTTCTCGCAAGAATATTTTCACTGGGAACCTTATTTCTAACGGTTATTTCCAGGGGAACCTAGGGGAACCTTAATGAATACTGTGTTGCGATTTTTCCGGACCTACAAAAGACCTTTGATTGTTTGAATTGCCAAGTTCTATTGGATGATTAGGTGAATTCCACCGTTATGGAATTAGGGGGACTTTCCTCTCACTTTTTCAGTCTTACCTCACGAACAAAGTCGTCGTCGCATTAAACGAGCTCAATTCCCCATTAGGGCCCATCAAAATAGGTGTATCTCAGGGCTTTGTACAATGGTCTCAATTCTTTAATGATTTTATTAATGATATTGCCTCATCTTTTAATGTGAACTGTAAGCTTTTCGCCGATGACGCCGTGTTCTATGTCTAGAAAAACTCGTATGACGAAGCCCGCGACAATATATCAGAGCTGTCATTGAATCTGATGGCTTCTATCAAACAAGCTAGTGGCACCTACTGACAAGAATAAGTTGATGCTTTTTACTCATAGACTAATTTCCGTTTTACGTGACATCACTTTCAATGAGACTATTTTACAATGGTTAGATAAATTCAGGTATCTTGGGTTAATCCTCTATAACAAGATCTCCTTCAATAAACACATTAACCACGTCTGCCAGAGGCTGAGTAAAGCCCAAGTAGTCTTGCGTGCTTTATTAAATGTTCTACCTTTCCCTTCGTTAAATACGCTTTTCTATGCAATGTCCTTATAGGAAGTCGAAAATTTTAAAACTTGACGATATGCTCAAATTTACACTTTTAAAATTCATGAATAGAGCACTTTTCCATGATGAACGTCTTTTTAAATTTGCCCCCACACACCACCCAACACATTTTTATAACACCAAGCAGGGGCGTTCGATTTAACTTACCACCGGTTCGTTTAGAAATAGAAAAAACGGCACCGTTTTAAATTTGGTCAAATATTTTAACAATCGTCAGATGAATTCAAACAAGATTGCTCTAAAATACTTTTAAAAATATAATTCCGTGATATTATCCTTAACCAGTATTAATTTGATTTTGATTATTACGCAGGTTATAAGTATTTTGGTTACATGTTTGCAGTTGTACCCTGTCTTACTCAGTGTAATGTTGATATTGCCTCTGTAATGTTGATTTTTTATCATGACATAAGGTTATCAGTTTTCATAAAAGCTTTTTTCAATGATATTTTTTTTATTATTTTAGAAATTTATCACTTATTTATATCGTCATCTTGTTATCAGCGAAATAGAATTATATATCTATTATGTTGCCTGCAAAGCTTCAATAGCTTATATGTGCATTCACCTGGAAGCCTCGCTATTTTATTTCACGTTTCTTATATATTTCATTGTAACGTGTGATCCTATATGTGTGAAACAATCAATCAATCAATTCTAATATGCGTTGCATGATGTGATTACGATAAATATTTTAATTGATCGTTGAATGGGCACATTTCTGACAATTATTACAACTAGCAGAATCAATATGTGATTAATTTCCATAATTTTTAAATGGTACGTAATGAAAAAATAAAGTTGCTACAGAAAGATGCACAATACTGCTTAATTCCTCATTATTGAATTCGACGAATCCATGTAGTATTTCTCTGCATTTTTTCTCGGTTCAAAATTTTCCAGGCTTAATAATTCTGTTTTTAATTGTGAAGAATTGTGATCAATGGTGCTAGATATCTAGTAAAAAATTCAGTGGAGACTTTAGAGAAGAGGCGGATTAATGAAGATAGAAACGGGAGTTGTAGCCTGAGATTAAACACGAAAAATTGATAATAGGTCGGGAAGAAGAAAAAAAAACAATACATTAGTTGTGCTTTTTCGTCAAAAAATAAGTTGAATTGTTTTCAACTGAAATTAACTGGAAATTGAACAGAAGATTTCATTCATGCGATTCTGCTCCAATGAAACAATTATAACTAAAAAGTGGCGTGCGAATTCATAAGAATTGAAGGCTCTGAAGCTATTCTTGGGTACATAAATTTTCTCAGAACAATTCCGTTATGCGCAAAATTGAATTGTCTTGAAACTATTTATTTGCTGCAGACATTGAAGCGTCGAAAACAGAGGAACATCTGCGGTGTAACTGAGATTGCCTCCGAAGCGAGCAATAACGACAAGCAATAACAACCTTGCCGTGCAGTTGGTTGTGTCCTGTTTATTTCGATATAACTAGTCCTGTTTATTTCGATATAATGTTAGGTCTTGTTTAGGTTTATGTCTGCCTTTGAATTTTGACTTTTAATGTGATTTTATTCATTTTTAGTTTAGTCGAACTGATGATGGAGCTGGACTCCGAAACGTTTTCACTATCGATATGGTGAATTTTCTTGGCGTTTTCTTTGCTTTTAAATTCCTTGTGTCGCCGACCATGCATGAAGTTGTCTTGCAGTTAGGACCGAGATCGCGGCGTGAGTGGTAATTTGAGGTGAAGATTTGAGCCGCTGCAGGTCGATGTTGTATGTCGTGTTGCAGGTCGTGTTGCAGGTCGTGTTGCAGGTCGTGTTGCATTCCCATTGCAAGCAGATTGTATTGCGGGCATTTGAGCCGCTGCAGGTCGATGTTGTATGTCATGTTGCAGGTCGTGCTGCAGGTTGTGCTGCATTCCCATTGCAGGCAGATTGCATTGCGGGCTGCGTTGCAGGTCGTGTTGCAGGTCGTGTTGCATGTCGTGTTGCATTCCCTTCGCAGGCAGATTGCATTGCGGGCTGAGTTTCAAGTCGTGTTGCGGGCCGTGCTGCAGATCGCGTTTCTGATCGTGTTTCTGATTGCTTTGTGGGCCGTGTTTCGGGCCGTGTAGGTTGCACGTCGTCTTGTGGGTGTGTTAAAGGGTTTAAATGTGTTTAAACGTTGTATTTAAATTCCACAACACATCGTGTTGTGGAATTTGTTGCCGGTCTCGTGTTGCCTGTTGTGATGTGTGACTTGCGGGTTGTTAGCAACCCGCAAGTGAGGTGAGGTTGCTCACAACTCGGAAAAAAAGTAAGGGTACGTTGTGTTGACGACCGGAAGCTAGGTTGTTATGCATAGGAATGGAAAAGAAACGTACGTATACTGGGCTAGTAACAGGTCGTGTTGGTCATGTTATAGCCTTTGTTTAAGGTTTCAATGGGAATTTTGGTAGTGTATTTTTAAGTATTAGTTCAAGTGATATCTAGTTCATCTTTCTGGAGAAATTCCTAATGCTTTCATATAAATTATTTGCAAATAAGTTAAATGCACATGGCAATGATTTTTGAATTAAGAAACATGTTTTCTTGCTTCATCCAATCGTCCTTGATGAAAGGAAATTGTAAAATCAACAAAGTGAAGTAAGTGCTTCGTAAACTACGCAGGATGAGGAGTTTATGTGTAATTCTCAATAACACACGAAATACAATCTAGCGCAGAGCATACATTGCAGACTTCGCAATGAAGCGACCGATATTCAGACCGAATATATTTGCATATAAATCAACACGTCTAGCCAAGGCTTTAAATGAATTCTCCGGCGAGAATTTCGAATTTTTAAGTTGAAGTAAAGGTAAACATGATAAAACACTAAATATCGAAAGTGAAAAAAAATATCTCTGTGTAAATCAAATTTGAATATTGGAATTACAAAATCACTTTCTATATAATATAACGAATTGTGTGTTTTCAATTTTTCTTGGAAATAAGATTGCAATCATAGTTGTATAACCATCATCCCAGCATTGTATGTTTTTCTTTTTGGTATGTTTTTCATTGTATGTTTTCATTGTATGTTTACTTTCATTCGTTGTATGTTTTGTATTCATTGTTTTTTCATTATATGTTTTTTCAAGTAAGTTTCATGTTCACGTAAATCAAAATCTCATATATAGTTACATTTAATTCACGCTTATTATTTGAACTACATAATTCATGCACTTTCAATATCATAACGATCACTAAAACAACAGTAAAAATTCTTGCATATGTTTGATAGTTTAGTATTTTGAATTCTTCTGCAGTGACTGCGACAGCGATGTTACTAGAGGATCTACAATGAAAAGATGTGAGCGCAATCGCTGCGACGCCCCATAGACTGCATTGCAAACTTAGGACGAACTTGCATAACGTCATTGCTAAACTTCCCGATTCAGCACTCAACTTTGCCTGCTATCTAATGCGCGAAGTTCGGAATCCCAGCAAATTATTATAGTAATTTTTAGCACAAATATTTAATAAGTTTTTCTTATGCGAAGAATCGTGACGTATAAATGAGTAAAACATAAGCGGCATTAGTGTCCCGTTAGAGAAGTAAGTAGCTTATAAAATGAACAATTCTTTCAAGCGAATGTTCACCGAAACACAAAAGTGTACTATACAATTAAGTTATAGACACCTTAACTCTCAAATATATAGACGAATACCAAAATTTTCTAGTTGATAGTTTGAAATTAAAAGTAATAAAGATACCACAATAATTTATAAGTCTAATCGGCAGCGATATGTTTATTCAATTTGAAAGTTTTTCTACGGTAAGATTATTCGGGTCAAAATTAGGAATTAGCAAATGGTGTACAAAATTAAAAAGTTAATTACCAACCGGTCCAGGATTATTGACTTTTCCCGTTTATACTTAAATCCAATTAATATTCATAAACAAGAAAAGAATTCTGAACAGTGATAATGTATCAAAGTAAGTTTCACATCACAAATGTCCTATAAAAGAATGTTGGCTTCAAACTTGTGATCTTAGGAGAAGATGATACTACTGTCAACTTTAATATAAGTTCGGGAAAGTCATCAATGCGACTCATTTGTTATGAAAGAAAAAGTTCGTGGCGGTAATCGCGATCCCATTTAAATAAATTTAAAGTTGTGCTGGCTCCTAGCAAGATCTTGTCATTACCGATCAAGGATAAAAAAGTTAGACCAAAATGCCATATCCTGGAAAGTCGGCTTATCAGTGCAGGAAGAAGTTAAAGCTCAACGATATCGGTCTATCATAGCATGATGAAGGCCGAGGCTCGGGAATACCGCATCATTCGATATTTTCCACAAAATTTTCTCCTAATGATGCTGGTATAGGAAAGAGATCATGACATTTTCGAGAGCATGTCTGTGAAGATTGTTGTGGTTTTCTCTCGGCAAATCCGCACGTGTTTTTAAGAAAAATATGCAAAGTCACGGGTTATTTTCGAAGCCTAGTTTTACGCACAAGATTGCAACCTTTTTTATTTTAAGTTTTAATCTCATTCCTCAACAAAAAAATTAGGATCGGAAGTTTTCAAGATTTTTGGGATTACGTACAAACGAGAGATTTCTGAAGTTTATTTTGCTCTGTGCATTACCTCATAGAGTAATTTTATGCTCAAGCAAAAAAAAATGCTTTCTATTAATTATTCATCGACACATTATATTCCCGTTTATTATTGTTAGCATTATATTATATTTTCCGGTTTTTTAATGTTTTCTCGAAACTTAGCAGCTTGTAATAATTGCTCCATCATATCATCACAAGAATCGGAATGTTAGAGCAAATATCATGATTATAAGTTGTAGAATGAAGACTTGTTTTTTGTTGTTTAATTTAATCAATATGAGTTTCCTTGATAGCCAGTACTATGGTTCGCCAACACGATTTTTTTCGATAAATTAACGGATAATGAATGTTAGGAATGCTTTTAGTCAATTATTTACATTAAATCTGCGTCATCACTCATTGATGTAAAATTTCCAACGAGGTAGGAAGAAGTCGAAAATTAATCTGTACAGTACGCAAAATAACCATCCAACTTATATGAATGATAATGATAAATAAAATGATATTATCTGAATAAATTTCAAATTAATCGCCGCCGGAGGGAAAATATCCCATTTTTTGCCTTCCATACTATACGTGACTTGAAATTGCGGCTAAATAAGTTGAGTCCAGAGAAAAGGGTAAAATAATTTCTAAGTTTCGATATATGATCAACATT